GAGCTCACTTTGTAGCCCAGGCTGGTCTTGAACTCACAATGATCCTCCTGCCTCAGCCTCCCAAGTGTGGGATTACAGGGATGTGCCACCACACCCAGTGCAGTCCTTGAATTTTAATAAATAGCCAAATTCTTAAAAATAATAGACTGAATTATAATGATGAGATTTCAGACATGAGCCACTGAACATAAGGGGCCCTTCAAGTTCCTTCGTCTACCCTCAGAAAATAATACTGAAAATAGTAACTACCACTCATTAAGTACTAATGACTTATCTACCACTGTTCCAGGGACTTTAATAACAATAATTTAGTTATGCACATTAAGCCTGTGCCCGATGACTTACATGTATTATCTTATTTGATCGCCCCTGTGGCTCAGATAGTTATTTTTAGTGCGATGCTGATAAACTGTCTCCCAGAAAGACAAAGAGACAGGAAGAGAAAGAGGAGAAGGTAAAGAGAGGAAGGGATGGAGAGAAGACACTAAGAAGAGGGGAAGGAGAATAAGAGCACCTGGCTCACAGTGTTTGCTGATTTATATGGGGGCGAAATGATTTACTCCCACCGTGGTTGACTTCAAGCTGCCGGTGATCTAATCAGTGAGCCTAGTGTCCACCTTCCACCGCTATCTTCTGGCCCATTTCTGTTTATGCCGCTGCTCAGCCCCGAGTTTATGCTGCTGCAGCTGGATCCGGCACACTGCTGTGTCACAGACCACGGAACCAAGGCGCAGGGGAAGGGGCACACAGCCAGAGAGGCCAAGTGGACCAGGGAGCCAGGTCCATCCACTGCGCTGCCAGCCCTGTTCGGCCACAGGGAGCCTGAGTCCCTCTGTGAACGTGGCAGAGGCAGGGAGAGAAAAGAACTGGGGGTGTCAGAGGCGAGTGTTGCTATGGAAGGAGCCAGAGCCCTGGTCCAACAGTCCTGGGTTCAAATCTCACCTCCCCCACTAGCCATAGGATCTCAAGTGGGTCCTTCACCCCCCCAATCTCAGTGCCCCCGTTTGCCAGGTAGGACTAATAACACACCCACCTCCAAAGAGGAACACATCAGAAATAGCTTGTATAAGTTGCCTGTTACACAGCAGCGACTCAGAACACAGTGCTTCTGGCTTTTAGGACGGAGGCTCAAGAGGCTGTGCTTCCTGAGAGAGAGGAACGGGGACTGAGCTCTGGGAGCACCATGGGAAGCGGGGCAGGAGCAAGTTCCGGTGTAGATGAGCCAACCCAAAGGGCATGGGCAAAGGCACCCCTGCAGCTGACACTGACCTCATCTTTCTTTTCCCTGTGTGTGTTGTTTCTTTTTTCCAGCTAGCGCCATCATAGGAATCATATTCATCAAAGAAAAATGGAAACCTAAGGACTTTCTGAGTAAGTTCATTGATTTGAGCCCTTCCTTCATTTATACTCACGCTTTTTATTTGCTATAAATGCAGCTCTCCTGACTGAGAGACCCTCTGCCTCCTGTCCCACCCTCTCCAGGCTATTGAGAGTGGGTTCCTACATCCATGGTCCCAGGCCGGGCTGAGATCAGAATCACCTGAGATTCTTTTGAATGGACCTTCATTCATTCCACTCAGTCAGGAATGCTTGAGCATCTATGGGCATTTTAGGAGGCCTGATCAAAGGCACATTCCTTCCCTGTCTTGTCAGAAGCAATGGGAATAAAACCCAGAGGCCAGAGGTTCTGCTTTTTGTACTGGTACCAGCAGGATTTGGGCCTGCAGCACAGGTATGGAGCCCAATACACTCTGCACAGCTCACTCACCCTCATAAATCCCCAGCTGCCAGTTATACCGCCAACTTAAGAAACACTTGGCTTTACAGAGGAGCGGTATGTTCCCAGAAATATTGCCTTACATAGATTAGGGGCAAAGAGCAAAGCCCCTGTGTTTAAACACTTTTGATAGATTAGCTCCACCTATTGAGAAATGTGGACCAATAAGGAAGAGGCAGAAGTGTTACATTCATGGAGGTCCCACGTGGAAACCTAAGAAGTGGGGAAGAAGCGTTCCCCCAAAGTCCCCTACTAAGTGACACACTCTAACGTAGGTGTTGGGTTACAGCAGTAGAACAGGAGGAGTTCCTGTTCTCACGGAGAGTTTAGTCCAGTATGGGTACAAGTGTGGTGGGCAGCGGGAACAATAAATAAGTCAATAGCTAAGTAAGCAAAATAATTAGATCCAAGTGAATTCTTCTGCAAAAATAGAATGGTTGGTGGCAGATTAAGGAGAGGGGGACACTTTGCCCAGACTGCTCCAGAGTTAGAGTCTCTGAAGAGGTGATGTTACTGTGGGCAGAGTGTGCCACCCAGAGGGTGCAGCAGGTACAAATGCTCTGAGGCTGAGACAGACTTGGTGTGTTCAGTGTCAGTTAGACCAATGTAGCTGGAGGGTGGAGGGTGAGGAGAGGCGGATGGGAAGGCACAAAGGGCTGCACGGTGCAGGGCCTTGCAGCGTGCTGAGGACGTGAGACATAATCGTGGCCCCAGAGGTTCTGAGGCTGGGGCTGGGCCAGGCGGTGTCATTCTTATAAAGCCTCCAGGTAAGGTTTATATGATGCCTACACTTTGATCTGAAACGCATCCAAAAACAGGATGGACCGGTGAGTGTGCAGAGGGATAGAGATGGATAGATGCCCGCTACAGCAGGTACAACCGAATGTCCAATTTGGACCTAGGTGGTGGGACTTTGGGTGCTTACTATACAATGCCTTTAACCGTCCTGTGTGTCTTAAAAAATGCAACACAGAATTTCAGGGAGAAGGGGCTGGGGATTTAGCTCAGCGGCACAGCACCTGCCTGGCAAGCGCAAGGTTGTGAGTTCGATTCCTGGTACCAAAAAAAAAAAATTTCAGGGAGAGGAGGAGGCTACCAAGATGTTGTGGACACTTGGCCAGGATCAGGAATCACTGTTCTGAATCACTGGTACAGAACAAGATCTGCTTGGGTCAAGGAGAGGCCAAAAAGGGAAAGAATCGTACCTCAAGAAAAGCAGAACCAAAGGCTTTTGGGCTACTGCTAAGCAAACCCGTCATGCTGAGAAAGAGTTAATCTACAGTTGTCCTGATAGGGTAGCGGGGAGTGAGAGGGAACCTTGGGCTGATTTGGAGACCACTGTAGAGATTTGTCCTCCTTCCCGCATCTCTAGGTACTTTTGGAATGAAAGCCTCTCTAGTCCAAGCAGTGCCCTGTGTGAGTTGGAAAAAGATGGCTCCTCTGGGCCTCTGTAGCTTTGTGGACACAAGCCTTGGTGAACAGAGCATGAGCTAGATTTTAACCCTCCTCACCCCTTAAGCCAGGTACCCTTGGACAGTGAACAACCTGTACAACTGTACACGCCCACCCTGCCTAAAGCTCCATTCAAGTTGGCAAACATTCATTCAGCGCTAGACCTCTGCTGTACATCACAGGTGTGGAGATGAGTGTGACCCTTTCTTGATGGAGAAAACTGGAGACAAAAGCTGAGACAAAAACTGAAGCTTACTGTGTTTTAACCTGACTCATTCATTCGGTGAACAACTGAACAACCGAATTCTGAGCACCTTCTACATTTATGAGGCCTAGTACTACTGAAATTAAAGCACAAAAAAAGGCATTTTCTGGGGCATGACATTTTCTGGAGATGGGATGAAACAGATTTAGTCAGTTCTGTCTCAGAAAAATCCAGCCAGGCGTGGTGGTGCACACCTGTAATCCCAGCACTCGGGAGGCTGAGGCAGGAGGATCAATGTGAGTTCAAGGCCAGCCTGGGCTACAGAGTGAACTCAAGGCCAGCCTGAACTGCATAGCGAGACCCTGTCTCAAAAAGACAAAAAAAAAATTAAAAATGACCTTAAGAATGATCGTTTCCTTTTTAAAGTAAACAAGAACCAAAGCGATAGTGTGTAGCTTGGTGTGGGAATTACTGTCTCTCTGTGTTGAATGAGAAGGCTGCTGTTTCCTGCCAAGAGTTCATCCTGGCCTGGGCCGGCCCCTGAGGCAGGTCCCTGATGGCCTGTCCCTCCCACAGGGCGCTACATCTTGTCCTTCGTTGGCTGCGGTTTGGCTGTCGTGGGCACCTACCTGCTGGTGACGTTTGCACCCAACAGTCATGAGAAGATGACGGGCGAGAACATCACCAGGCACCTCGTGAGCTGGCCTTTTCTCTTATACATGGTAAGAGGAGGTCCTGGTGCTTCCCTGAGAGGGCAGCAGTGGGGCGGATCGAGTCCCAGGGCCCAGAACCCCAAGGACCCAGCCGCGAAGCAGAGGTTCTGTGAATCATGGCTTATCGCCCAGGACGGGAGACGGCGCCTGCCTGAGTCCAGAGTTATGAGGAACGCCGCTTCCCTCGTTCCCGAGCCGCGTCTCGAACTGTGTATCACAGGGTGCCAGGTTTTATGCTTTTGGAGGGATGGGAAGATTTTTAAATAGAATACATCTATGAAAGGCTGGGTGGAAAGACAGAAATTCCATGTGGTTATCTTTGGGAGGTGGAGTTAGGATTCCATTTTTATTTCTTCCTCTTCCTGTATCATCCAAAACTTCTACAGCGACCATTGAACATTTTTCTGGTAAGAAAAAGGAGTTAACATTTTAAACAGCTTAAGAATGTTATTTTTCTCAGCACTCACACAGCGGATAGAATCTGATCAAAAGCCAAGAGATACCCGGGGTTCTCCTGAGCCCCAGCCAGTGCTCCCCCGCCCCCTCCTTTACCTCCTCTCTTGGGTCTGCACATAAACCGAGTGAGGGAAACAGCTGAGGTGTCTGGCCAAGCTACTGGTGTATTCTTGTCTTATACCCAGCACTGTGCCAGCCATGTTGGTAGATCTCATCCCAGTGTCTCCACAGCCCTATATAGTAGATGTTTTCCCGTCCATTTCATGGGTGGGAAAACTGAGGCCCAGAGAGACAGTGGATTTGCACGGAGCCTATAGAACAGAGCCAGGTGTGAAGGCCGGACCTGTCTGGCCCCTGGTACCAACATCTTCCCCAGGTCCTGCTGGTAGAGGTGTTCACTGCTTGCGTCTGATGTGACAGCAGCACGCTGATTGAGTCAGAGCCCCCCCCATCCTTTTCCTCACGTGGTGCACAGGCTGGAGCTGTGTCATTTTCCTGCTGCCAGCCAGCCCCGGAGGTTCCCTGTGGGCATGGAGAAACATGCCTGGGACAGAGCCAAAGACTTGCCAAAGAAAGCCTTCCCCCAAAGCAAGCCTGTGCTCGGGGAGCCCGGGCTCCCAGCCCTCGTGCGCCGTGTGGCTTTCATTCCGTTTCCTCCTTTGCTCGATGGCGCAAAGCATGGACGTGGGGTTTCGGGTTGAATCCATGACTAGCACGGGAGGCGCCCAGCCTGTGGCATATGTTCAGGGATGATTCAGTGCTTCGTCTCACTCCATCGTGACCCTGAGGCAGAGCGGCCAAACCGGGCTCGGGACGCTCTGAGTGTCCACTATATGCCAGGCGCTGGGGATACAAATCAGTGCGACGAGCTCACAGGGTGCAGTGGTCTGTCTGGAGACACGAACCTGGGTACAGTCTCTTAGGCTCTTATGCCAATTGAGCATTCACTGAAGAATCCTGGAGGATCGCCCCAACATTGGGTCCTCCAGATGTGTGTGCAAGGGGGGCCATTCAGTGAGTGACCCTGCGTCTGCTTGACGACTCATTCTCCAGCAATTAAAGATAATGCTGCCAACTCCACGAAACGTGAAGATCGTGGTAACTAAAAGCAGCCCAGGGCCGGGGATTATAGCTCAGCTGCACAAGCGCCTGCATGGCAAGTGCAAGGTCATGAGTTCGATTCCCGGTACCCAAAAAATAAAAAAATAAAAGCAGCCCAGTACCTAGTTGAGCACGGATACAATGACAACTAGACAAAGTATGTGCTGTCTGGGACAACGGGGAAATGAAAACAGCTTGTGTTTTATGGCCTGTAATTCTAAGGCATTTTAAACTTTTTTTTTTTTAAATTTCAGATTGTCCATTAATGCTTCTGCGTTCATTTTGATACTAAATACACTTCGGGAGGGAGCAGGGGTTGGCAGACATTGCTGAGCCATTACCATATCTTTACCAACCCTGGGTGCCAGGGCTGGCTTTCCGTGGGGAGCTATGGCCAAATGTCTGGGCCTTCAAGGGTAGAAAGGGTGAGCTGTTGATGTTGGGGGGCAGGGAAGCTTCTTAGACTCAAGGTCTGCCCTGGCAGGAGAGGATGGACAGAAGGAACGCATAGGAAGCATATCCCGATTGTGGGTCTCCTGACCCTAGGTACCTGGCCCTGGCCTCAGCGAGAAAGTGTGCACCCTGGAGCCAGGCTGTCCAGGCTCAAAGCCTGGCTCTGCCATTCTCTAGCTGGGAGTTACAATTGTACCTGCTTCATAAAACAATTGAGCCCATGTAACAAGTTTGATATAAAGGACTTAGGGCAGTGCGTGGGCTCTAATGAGTGTTCATTAAGTGTAAGCTCCGAGTAAGGCCTGTGAGTTTTACAGTTATTACCCTATCTCACAGAGGTGGTAATGAAGGTTTACAGGAATTAAGTCCCTTGCCCAAGGTCACATGACAATTCAGAGACAGACCCAAATTCAGCCAGGTCTCAGAGGCTCCTAATCCCTTCCCCTTTCTTCTGCCTCTGAGCTTTGGTTGGGGAAGGAGAGTGACCTAACTGCTCAGGGAACACACCTCTCCCTCCCTGACTGACCCCGGTTTTAATGGGGGTACCCCTGGAGTGGTGAGGCGGGGAGAGACGTCTCAGCCTGATGTGTCCTGGCCGACCTAGCCAGGCAAGGTGAGGTCAGCGTCCCCAGCTCAAGTTCCTGCCTGACGTGAACAGGGTCTCCTTCTGTGCTGTCCGGGGGCTGGACGTGTTCACTCCGCCTGTCCCTTTCCTCTGTATCTGTCAGCACGTTGGGAAATGTCGGGGGTCTGACTCCCTTTCCCCTCCAGTGTTCATGACTCTGACAAGACCCGCAGCCGGGCCCCCCTGACCTCCCCTCGTCCCTTCGCAGCTGGTGGAGATCGTCCTGTTCTGCCTGCTGTTGTACTTCTACAAGGAGAAGAACGCCAACAACATCGTCGTGATTCTCCTCTTGGTGGCCTTGCTCGGTAAGCGGGGCTCTATGGATGGAGTTTGGCCACCCGCAGTAGCCCCAGAAGGAGGAGAGGCTTTGTTTCCAGAAGCTGCGTGAGGCCAGCTTGGGACGGTCGTTCCTTGGGTCCCTGCTGTCGGGAGGCTGCTCCTGTCATTCCCAGCTGTCTTGCTCAAATCCCTGGCCTCCCAAGTGCCAGGAGCTAGTGTCAATAGCCCAGAAGGAGCAAACGCCCTGTCCCGGGGGCTCCGTTCTGAAAGGTGGGCACTCAGCAATCCCTTTGGGGAACAGCAGTGACAGCAGGGAAGAATAGAGCAGAGCCTGGTGGTGGGGGAGCTCGGAGGTCGGTCCGACTCCTCACCCCCAGGAGTCCGTGCCCAGCAGCAGAGGTGGGGAATCCAGAGGCAGCGGCAGATTTTGCTCACACCCTCTCCATTTTCTGCCCTTTTAGAGGGACAGGTACTGGTAGAGAAATGGCTCCTGAGTTGGGTTGAAGCGGTGACATAACTGTGTGTTGCTTCATATGCTAAATACAGCAGGAGAAGGAGGCACAGGGGTGCTGGGTGCTGCCCCTTGTGGGCACCAAGTCCCCCCAGCTGGTGGCTCTCTCTCCAAGCCACACTGTCCTCAGTCTAAAAATGGGCACATGAGGCTGGGTGTGGTGGCTCATGCCTATAATCCCAGCACTCAGGAGGCTGAGGCAGGAGGATCGCCACAAGTTCAAGGCCACCCGGGGCTACATAGTGGGTTAAGGCCAGTCTGACCTGCATAGCAGGACCTTGTCTCAAAAAACAAAATAAAAATATATTTTAAAAATGGGCACATGAGAACACTGAGATGGCAGGGTGGAGAGGAGATTGAGTTAGATAAGCACAAATGCCCAATGTGAGTTATTTCTCTTCTGTCTTCCCCCAAGAGTCCCACAACGCAACAGACCACAAACCACATGGCTGTCGCTGAGCAAAGGCTTGCATTGTTTTGATTTTTTTTTTTAATATTTGTATTGAGATAGAATATATGTACCATAAAATTTACCTATTCGGCATATGCAAGTCCATGGTTTCTAGTATATTCACAGAGTTGTGCAGGCATCCTCATACTCTAATTTTGGAATACTTTTTGTCACCCCCAAAATAAACCCTGGGCCGGTTAACTGCCCGCTCCCGCTCCTCTGAGCCCTAGCCCCATGGAATCACTCACCTGCCTATGGTCTCGCCTTTTTGAGCATCTTATAGAAGTGGAATCATGTATGAGATGTGATTAAAAAACTAGACCCATTGCCACTAACCTCCCTCCAAGTGTTCCCCCTCGCGTGGAACACACCCATTCCATCATTCCTGCCACTTTCTGTTGTTTGTTTTTGTTTTTCTTCCGGTACTGGGAATCAAACTCACGACCTTGGGCTTGCCAGGCAGGCGCTGTGCCGCTGAGCTAAATCCCCAGCCCCTTCCTGCCACTTTCTGAAGCGGTTCTGGAAGTCCTTTTTCACAGGTGTCTTCAGTCACACTGTCCTGGCTCCCTCAGTGTCCTGAATCCATTCAAAGCATTTACCTGTGATGGTCTTTTTGACTGTGGGGAAGAGCGAGAAATTACATGGTGCCAGTCCCAGTGAATAAGGTGGATGAGAACACACCATGACATTTTTACAAGCCTGTCTTTGCATTGGATGGAGTTTGGCAACTACATTCACTGTATTTTTGATCACACCACTTAAAGCCACTATGAACAAGGACGTCATGAAACCGCATCGGAAAGTGGCACTAACTATGTGCATTTGAAGGGGGTGGGCTTTTAGGCTTAGTGGCAGCATGTCTTTTACAGGAATGATTTTGATTTTGATTTTGATTTTGATTTTTTTTTATTTTAAAGAATAAAAGAAGGATAACATAATAATAGGGGGGACTTAGCAAATTACAGACAAAATGGTAGGAAATTATCAATGGTTATCGTTTTACATATTATTATCTACAAAATAGTTTCTCAGGAAAACAAATAGACAAATAATAGTGAGTTACAGACAAAAGAGGTAGGAGATTATCAAGAGTTGTTGTACTATACTTTAGTATCTTCAAAGTGGCTTCTAAAGAAAATAAATAGAGCTATACATGAGTGACCTATTGAAAAATCATTAACTATTCTCAATGGTTGTTGTAGGAAACACATAATAATAAACAGACATCCATTTATGAAATAGGATAGGAACATTACAAACTTTACACAGTTATGGATAGATTAGTAGGAAAATATCAATGGCTGCTGTAATACGTGGTGGTATCTTCAAAGTGGTTTCTCAGGAAGACAGAGATATGCAAGAAGGACCTATTAAGTAGTTACAGCCTAAGGGTTGTCAAAAATAGCATATTACCTCCTCACCAGTGACTCCTTTTACTGAGGTATGATGGCTGGAAGGAAGGCCAGGATTGAAAAGAAGGACCGAGAGACTTGCACCTGTGTCTAGCAACAGGCTGTTTTCTTGTTCCTCCATAGTCGTGATTACCCAGGGCTCCTCGATGGAGATGACGGTCTGGCCAGAGGGAGAAGACAGACCATGCCCCAAGGCCTCTCATACAGGAATGATTTTTAATTTAAATGTCCACCGTATGTGCTGGCCACACCTTGTACTAAGTGGCCTTTTGTGACCAGGGTCTTTCAATGCGGGTATGTGGGAGGCTCATCCACGTTGCCGTGTGACTCAGCCCTTCGTCTCTTGGTGACTTTGTTTTCATGCAGGCTGGAAGGGTGGGTTCCGAAGCACCCTCTCTTTGTGAGTAGCGAGGCCAGACCGAGGCAGTGGGCAGCCTCGTTCTCACTAGCGAGGACAGTAGTGGCAAGGGCTTGTCCTCAGTGGCTGCCAGAGCTGGGACCCCGTAGCCTCATGGCCTGGAAGCCCTGTGTGTGGCGGGCTGTTGGCAGGGGAAGCTGACTGCGCAGCTGACAGAACCTCAGAACATAGCCGTGCAGCCAGGACCAGGGCTTCCCCGTCACACAGGCCAGCTGGTTGAGTCCTGCTCAGCAGGGGTCTGACACTTTACAGCAGAAACTGTTTCCATTCATGGGAAAGTGATGGTCTCCATGGTGAGGAGAACAAGTGGCCCCATGGTGCATAGGAAGAAGGTGTTAAAACAGGGAGTTTCTCCGCCACCTTTTAAAGTGACATTTTCTGTCCGTGTTTTATAATGTACAGGCCAAGTAAGTGCAGACTATAAATTTGAAATAAGTACACACATACGGCTGGGCATGGTGGTGCATGCCTGTACTCCCAGCACTTAGGAGGCTGAGGCAGGAGGGTTGTTGTAGCCTGGGCTACAAAGTGAGCTCAAGGCCAACCTGAACTGCATAGCGAGACTCTATCTCAAAAAAAAAAAAAAGTACACACACGTGTATTGGGAATATATGTGCATACACGCAGGGTTCCAAAACATCAGAGACTTCTCAGAGTAAAGAAGTGTTTTTAAAAGTATGTGTTACTGAGCATTAAAAAGTAATCATCCCTAAGCTCTTCACACACCCCCATGTCTTCCTGTGATTGCCTTGAGACTAATGTATGAAGATCCTTGGGCTTCCCACCGTGTTCTGGGCACAGTGCCAGGCACTCAGGTCCAGAAAACTGGACGGTGGCCCACTTAATACTGGAGCTCAAAAGTGATATTTGGGAGCCACAGGTGGTGGCGCACGCCTGTAATCCCAGCATTTGGGAGGCTGAGACAGGAGGATCACCCTGAGTTCAAGGCCAGCCTGGGCTACCTAGTGAGACACTGTCTCAAACGAAACAAAAGAAGTGATATTTAGAAATAGCTGTTAGTGTCTTGTTCTCCTCCCCGCTTTGCTGTGCTGGCAGTCAAGGGAGGTAAAGAGCCCCGGCAATCCCTGCAAGTCCCCAGGTGACTTTACCAGCTTTCCCTCCCAGTGTGGGCACTGAGCCCTTCGGGGTTATCACTGACTCTCAGGTCCTCGCTCCCTGCATTTCCCTGAGGCTGCCGCATGTCCTTGGTCCCCGCCTTCAGGCTCTATGACAGTGCTGACGGTCAAGGCCGTGGCTGGGATGCTGGTCCTGTCCATCCAAGGGAACCTGCAGCTCGACTACCCCATCTTCTACGTGATGTTCGTGTGCATGGTGGCCACTGCTGTCTACCAGGCTGCGTGAGTAGGAAATTCGTTCCCTCCCGGGCCTCACCATACTGATTTTCCAGTTTAGGGGCCCCATCACCTTGGGGTTTGAAGCCATGGGAAGGAGAAACATTCAGCTCACCAGGCTCTGGCATCTGGGGGGGAGGGAGGAGCTACCAGGGTGCTGGTTTGCCCCACGGAGGGGCTGTGTGCCCCCGGGACACGAAGCCTGCAGTGGACTTACTGGTTGTGTGCCGTTGCCGTTTTCTGTCCACCTCACAGTGTGAGAACTCGTGGTCAGGGGCACCTTGCTCCCTGTCCTGTCCACGCGGGCAGCTGTCCATGCTGGGTGGGGGATAAGCATTGTCATTTCTTATCTCAAGAAAGCTCCCCCAGTCTTCCTGGGTTGAAGAGCCAGCGCTTGTTTCTCTAAGCCTCTGATTCGATTACAGCTCAGCAGTCCTGAGGGCAGGGCCTCCGTCTTGCTCCCAGCTGAGTCCTGGTGGCCAAGCAAGGGCCTGGCAGGGAGCGGGTGCTCCAGGAATGTTGCAGGTGGTAACCTGCGTCAGTACATACGACACGGTGTGGCGTGTGAGGCCGAACCCACCTGGAAAGTCAGACGTGGGCTGGGTGTCCCCCAAGCGTGGGGCCTCAAGGGATCAGAGCAGTCGCTGCTGCTGGGGGGAACTCAGCAGAGGGTGCTTTGCCCTGTGCTTAGGAACAAATGCGTTGGTCCTCACAAACTGGGATGGAGATTCACTGTGCCCATTTTACATGTGGAGAACTGAGGCAGAGGTTAAAGCTGGAAAGGGTGGAGCTGAGAGTTGAGCCCACCCCGGTGTCTGGCCCAGGGTTCGCGCCCCTCTCTGCTCGCTCACTGCCTCCTGCTCAGGTTCTCCAAGGTAAGATTCTCCTCTCACAGGTGAGAAAAACACTCCTGCCCTGAGAGCGCGCCGTGCGGTCCGCAGGATGGCATCCCAGACACATTAGCGTCCTTTATGAGGGTGACTATTGTTACAACTGTCATCTTCACTATTAATATTCTTAGTCCTGCTTTAAAATTCCAGTCATCACCAGGGAGCCCCTGCTAATTACAAGGCTCTGCACAAGTGGCCCAGGGTTCACAGATGGCCAGGTGCTTTTCATCTCCCGGTCAGCATGGCGCGCTGATGCCCAGGGCACACAGCCACGGTCACTGCCTTCCGGGCACATGTGGCCCAGGTCAGGGACAGGCTGTAAACAGGCAGTTATGACCGAGGGATGTGTGTGTGTGTGTGTGTGTATGTGTGCACGCATGCATGTGTGCCTGCACCGTGCTAGCTAGGATGCCACCCAGAGGAAGGACGAAGAATCTATCACAAAATAAAGCTGATGTCTATCACAAATGGAGAGATTGGGGATGACTGATTTTTTTTTCTCTTTTTTCCTATTTTTATTGCAATAATCACATTATTTTTGAACCAAGAAGAAAAAAAACGTTAGACAGTTATAACATTGGGCAGAACATGGTCTGAATACGTGAGCGTGTGTGGTTGGGACCAGGAGTGGGTCTTGTCAGTGGGTGGGACACGGGGAGAGGAGAACCCGTTGCAGGTGTTAAGAACCTCATGGTCCAGTGTGTGAGACCAGGAAGGCGTGGCCCACGTGGTCTCGGGCCATGAACCATATAGACCTCAGGCCTAGGGACCCGTGGTACCCATACCTTGACGAGGGCATCCATGTGAACCTGGGGGACGCTCCTCCCCGCGTGCCAAGCCACGCTGCACCCCTCCAGCCTCCCTGCAGCCCGCTGACCTGAGTGCTTTTGGTTGCAGGTTTTTAAGTCAAGCTTCACAGCTCTATGACTCCTCGCTGATCGCCAGTGTGGGCTACATTCTGTCCACCACTGTGGCTATCACAGCAGGTAAGGCTGATTTCTGTCTATGTCTGTGGTTTTATAGAGGGTGTCCTAGAAGGTAGAGCCAGAGAAAGATGGGTTTGCAGCCCAGCACAAATGCGTCCTAACTGTGTGGCTCTGGGAGAATCACCTAACCTCTCTGTGCTTCAGCTCTACATTGCTAGAGTGGGAGTAATAACACTTCCTGCGGTTGCAGGGTGTACAATCTAAATGCCCCACTCCATTCTGCCTCCATTCACAGGCAAGGTTTCTCCAGCAGTTCTGGCCATCGTGTGCCAGCTCCACAGCCCCCACTGGCCACGCACGTAACCGTGAATCTCTCCTACATAACATTTAGAGCTCATGAGTACTTGAACCATCTGCAGGATCGTAGGCGCTCATAAGCAGTCATTGTCATTATTATGCCCCTTTTCTTCCGCTCTTTATTTTTTTTCATTTTTATTCTGAAGTAGATTGAGAGGCTACAAGCTTATTATTGAGGGTTTGTCTGTTTGCTTGTTTTCTGGCCCTAAGGATCGAACCCAGAACCTTTGCACTGAGCTATATTGTCTGTCTGTCTGTCTGTGTGTTTAAATTTTGAGATAGTGTCTTGCTAAGTCACTAAATTGCCCCGGCTGGCCTCAAACTTGTGACCTTCCCACCTCAGTCTCCCAGAGTGCTGGGATTGTAGGCATGAGCCACTGTTCCAGGCTTGTTTTTCAAATGGCAGTGGTGCTAAAATCTTCAGGGTAGGGGCAGCTGAGACTCCAGGGCTGCCTTGTGGAAGGCCTGGCTACAAGTTCTGTGCTGTACTTGGTTCTCGGGGTACTTGGTTCTCGCGGGGGAGCAAGGACCCGCAGGGCGCACAGCCCTCCAGGACCTGTACTCTGAGCAGGACCAGGTGTTGGACACTGACACCACCCACTACCCTCTCCCACCCTGACACCCAGGAGCTAAGCTAAGTCACGGTCAAGAGCCTTGGCCAAGAAGGCTGAAAAGCAGTCAAGGTTGGAAGGAACAGCAAACACTAGTTACATCAGAGACAGGAGTCAGTGGGGAATCAGGAGCTTGGGAATGCACAGGAAGCTGTGGCAGGAAGCAGTTCCACATGGTGGCTGGCAGCCAGGCAGGGCATTGGGGACATCACCCCACACTGGGAGTGGGTCTGCGGGCTGGCCTCTGCTGGCTGTGCAAGGCCAAGAAGCTTTAGGACATAAGCAGAGCTGTTTGTCCATCTTTTTTTCCCCCTTTGTTTTTTTTGAGACAGGGTCTCACTATGTAGTTCAGCCTGGCCTTGAACTCACAGCAATCCTCCTGCCTCAGCCTCCTGAAAGCCGGGATCACAGGCGTGCACCACTACATGTGGCTTGTTTGTCCACTGTCACAGAGGTGGTGGAGGATGGGAGGTGTGTGTATGAACACATGCACCTGTGTGTGTACAAAGACTGCTAAATAAATAAATATTTTTTGTAAATGGCCTGGGGATGTAGCTCAGTGCAAAAGCCCTGGGTGTAGCCCCCAGTGCTGAAAAAAAAGGTAAATAAAGTGTGTGGTTTAGTCAGTCATTGTCGTTTTCCTGGTTTTGATCATACACGGTGGTGTGAAATCTGGAGGAAAGGTGCAGGGTGCTGTGTGCTCTTGTTGTGAGTCTAATGTTATCTCAAAATAAAAAGTCAGAAAAAAAAATGGAAACAAGAGAAGCCTAGAGGCAGAGAGAGGTGCAGACGGCCTGTTCCCCGAGTGGTCTGCAGTCCGTCCTTGTGCTGTTTTACAGGCGCAGGCATCCTCACGATACCTTTGCCCACTCTGGTCTCCCCCGGGGAAGAGAGCTTAGCCAGACCCTAGTGCAGCCGGCACACAGGTGCTTGGGAAGCAGCTCACCGATCAGTCTTTTCTATTCCTCACTGTCCAGGTGCAATATTTTACCTGGACTTCGTCGGGGAGGATGTGCTGCACATCTGCATGTTTGCCCTGGGGTGAGTCACCTGCCGCCGCCCAGGCTGTGCATGTAGAAGTCACTCCAGGCAGATGTCCCTGTCCCTGGGATTGCTTCAGCATGGGGTCCTGTAGAGTCATTTGCAGAACCCAACAGGACTGATAATACCCCATGCTGTTGAGAGGACAAGGAGACCAGCCGCTACCTGTCACCCTGAGCAGCGTGTTGGTGTTGGGGACAAGGTGGCAACCTCAGCAGTCACTTCCAATGAGCACAGTTTTAGATGCGGTGTTCCACTTGTAAACATTTATCTTGTGAAAACGTTTGAAGGGGGACACAGAGATAAACAGATGAGGCTACGTATTGATTCTTAATCTGTTGTATGTGTAAGCTGACAGTCGGAAGCAGCCTAAATCCCCAGCAGTAAAGTGCAGGTTGAGTTATTCATGATAAATTGATATAACATGGTATATTAATGGTATATTCATATAACAGAGTTCCAGGCTGCTGTTTTGAAATTGAGGCAAAAAAACAAAAACAAACAAACAAAAAAACAATAGGAGGGCTGGGGATATAGCTCAGTGGCACAAGTGCCTGCCTGGCAAGCGCAAGGTCCTAAGTTCAATTCCCAGTACCCAAAAAAAAGAAATTGAGGCCAGCCTGTAGGTAAAACAACATCTAGGATACATTGAATGAAAAGCACTCACGAGCATTACAAACTTTTTTTAAAGCGTGGCTTACCCTTTAAAAAAAAAAAAAGAAGGGTAAGCTTCCACTTCTAGATTTTAACCCCTAAGAAATTAGTGTGACTCATGCAGGAGAATCCAGAGTTGCTTTATTCCTGATTGGCTCAAAGTGCAAACAGCCTACATGTCTACCCCACAGGATGGTGAAAGAAAAAGTACAGAATATTCAGACAATGGATTCTACGCAGTTAAAATTAATGAACTAATACACGTGATAAAGCAAATGGACCTTAGAAACTACATGGGGTGTTGAAGAGCTCACAGTGGAAGAGTTAACTCACAAGACTGTGAGAAAAGCAAACCTAACCTGTGATGAGGAGTCAGGCAGTGGTTACCTCTGATGAACGAGGAGACCTGTGGAGGGAGAGAAATATTTCTGCTTTAACTTGAGGTGTGATGACACAAGTGTTCCTCCAAGTGAAGTTCATCTGGCTGACTATTTAAGGCCTATAATTTTTTGTTTTTGTTTTTCAGTACTGAAGTTTGAACCCAGGGCCTTTATGCTGAGCTACATCCTCAGCCCTGGGTGTTTTTTTTTGTTTTTGTTTTTGTTTTTTTGAGACAAAGTCTCCGTAAGTTGTTCAGGCTGGGCTCAATCTTTCAACCCTCCTGCCTCAGCCTCCCAGAGTGCCACCCCACCCGGCTGGGTTTGTGCTCTTTAGTGTGTGTAAATTATACCTCAAATTTTTAGAAACTATGCTTATTTACATAAGCTTAGAAGGAAAAGAAAAGGAAACAAAAAATACTCCAGAAGAATATATCCCTACCCGAGGGGGTAGAATTGGGGGTATAGGGACTTTACAATTTTTACTAACTTTTACTTTTTTATACTAATGTAGTGATTGAATTTGGGTCATAAAGAATTTGTAAGGAACATTTTTTAAAGCAAGGTACCGGAAGTACTGGCTGAGTAGAAGTGAAAGAGTTTTGCCAGGAGAGTCTAATTTGTTCAGATCATAGCCTAACTGGGGGGTGGGCGTGGGGTGCGTGACTGTAATGATTCAGTTAGCATCTGCCTCCCTTGGGGCTTCTCTGCAGAGCACCGTCCTCCACAGACACCTTTTACCTGTCCATCACCACGCGCTGCTGTTCCGGTCCCTCTGCAGCCTCGCCCTCCCCTGATTTCTCTTGTGCCCCTTCCTCAGGTGCCTGATCGCCTTCTTGGGTGTCTTCTTAATCACCCGGAACAGGAAGAAGGCCATCCCGTTTGAGCCCTACATCTCCATGGACGCCATGCCAGGTACCGTGACAACCGCCTGTGTCCAGCGGGCCACGCATACAGAGTGACCGCGGCTTCCTGTGGGAAACAGGACGGCCGGCGCTGGGCGTGGCGCAGGGAGGGCGTGCTGTGTCTCACCGTGTGGCTGTTCTCTCCCGCTGTCTTTTTTTTTTTTTTTTTTTAATCTCATGCAAAACAGGAAGCAATGGCAGAGGCGCCTCGGTTGGTTCTGAGCACATCTCAGCAGTTCCCATGTCTATTTTGGGATCTTTTCAAAAAAATCCTGATTCACACTGGATGTAATTATGATCCGTAGCATCAGGCTCCAGGCCTGCAAATGGAAAAGTCCATCCATCTACTTGGCATGGAATGATCAGAGAGGGAAATAGGATGAATGAAAATTACTGGCTGGGCTCCACAGGGAGTGGACTGCTCTCATTTGCCAGAAAGCTAAGCGTTCACACCGAGTGGCACAAGCCCCAGTGCCTTCAAGCCCTGACGGTAAAGCAGCCGCCGCAGCCAGAGACTGCACGATCAATCAGGACTAGTGGGGGCTGGGAGAACTACAGGGTTCGGGTGCCTGTCCAGCCTCCAGGGAGTCAGGGCAGGAGACTAAACACCTTAAATCAGCCCCATGCTGGACGTGGTGGCGCACGCCTGTAATCCCAGCACTCGGGAGGCTGAGGCAGGAGGATCGTTGTGAGTTTGAAGCCAGCCTGGGCTACAAAGTGAGCTCAAGGCCAGCCTGAACTGCATAGTGAGACCCTGTCTCAAAAAGACTAAATCAGTCAATCAGTCAATCAAATCAAATCAAATCAGCCCCAGCTAGGTTTGCTGGCCGAAATTCTCCAGGTGGCCAGTGAATGCTGACTAACTCAAAATTAATTTTTATTTTAAATATATGAGAGAAAACTCTCTCCAAAACATAACTGTCCGTTCTTTATGAACACAATCTGATGAACCAGTTTAAACAACCCTGGGGGCACCGACTACTCAAGAGCAGCTCCTAGTCCGTGGCGCCATGACGCAAACGTGTTCTCAGGGTTGGCCGAGGTGCTCCCGTACTAAACGGTCCCAGTAAATTAGATGATTGTCTGCTTTTTATGTTCTCTGCTCATCTTGTGCCATCAAGCTGCTGTCTGCCATTCTTGCCGCGACCAGCCTCCCGCGGTATTATTGCGACTCCGCGTCTGCCTCATCCCCCCGCCTGTTCAGGCTGTGTCTAGAACCACAGCGAGCGAGCTCCGAGCTGGGACCTGAGGGTTCTCCCAGGAGCGCAGAAGTGCATGGGCTTCAGTGCATGGACATGTTTAAACATCTAACCTGGCTGCTCAGATGCCTTTTTTGCTTACTTCCTTGTTTCTTGGTTGTGTTCCGGATAGATGAGGGCGCTGGATAGCTGAATTCCAGATAGGTGAGGTGTCAACTCTGTGTGTGCAAGTATGTGTATGTATATGTGTATTTGTGTGCCTATAAGCTATACGTGTGTGTATATCCGTGCAGATGTTTGTGTGTACATAAATATATATATATACAGACGTATTTCATGGTGCCGAGTAGAAGGTAATGTCAGGTAATCTTAGATGTCAGCTTTCTGTGGCCTGTTCGTGGGTGTGGCTCTTGGCTTTCTCTTTGTACCTTGTGGCCAGTGGGAGATCAGATGTTGAAGAATGGGGACCCAGCCATACTGCAGTGGTTGTCAGGACACTTCTGATTAAGGGCTCGGGCTTAGAGTTCAGGGGACCTGGACTCAAATCCCAGCTCCGCCATCCACGTGGCCTCCCAGGGCCTGTCATTCTCACCTGTAAATTGGGATTCCTGCTTTCAGGGTGGTGGGTTCAGACGTGCAGAGGCCTCTTGCACTGTGTCTGGGACATGGTAGATGCCTGGCTACATTTGGTTTCGCTTCCCTTTTGCTTTAACGAACTTTGAAAGTTTCAAACACTTGTTTGACCTGGTGCCAGGTGGCACAGGCAGAATAAAACTGCCTGGTCCTCTGAGCTTAGACAGAGGCACTTTTTACCCCTGCTACCTGGTTAGCAAAAGAAATTGGCCTTTTGTCTGCCTAGGTTGATATTATAAACCAGTAGCTGATGTTCAAGAGGTCTGCAGGGCCTTCAATTCTCAACATGTCATCATTTGGAAAAGCTTCAAGTATCAAGAAACTGAAGCCTTTATTTTTCGGTTTTGTTTTTTTTCTCCGCAGTGCTGGGGATCAAACCCAGGGCCTTGCACATGCTAGGCAAGTACACTGCTGCTAGGCTACCTCCCCAGCCCCCAAAGCCTTTTAAACATGAAAAACTGGACATGGTGGTACACACCTGTAAGCCCAGTACTCAAGAGGCTGAGGCAGGAGGATCGCTGTGAGTTTGAGACCAGCCTGGGCTACATAGCTAGTTCAAGGTTAGCCTGAACTACATGGTGACACCCTGTCTCAAAAGAAAACATGAGAAAAAGAGGAGCAGCCCTATCCTCTGGGAGCTGGCCTGGACCTCTGCCTGCTCTGATGTCATAGGCTGAATAGACACAGTTTCAAAGCGCACCACCAGACAGGGCCGCTGTGACTGTGATTGGTCACCACACGAGTAGGACCACTCCCTCAAGTCTCAACACAAACAAAATGTGAACATTGTCCCAGCCTCCAAAAGCGGCGCCCACTCTGGCTAGTATGAGAGCCTCCTGCCGCTGTGCCTGCCACTGCTTTAGCTCAATCTGTTCTCTGTCCATTGTTAAGATCCCCAACTACACTGGGGGCCGGGGATACAGCTCAGCAGCACAGCGCATGCCTGGCAAGCGCAAGGTCATGAGTTCAATTCCCAGTACCCCCCCCCCAAAAAAAGATCCCCAGGTACAGATGTGTCCCCATTCCCCAACAGCTTCGAGTCCAAAGCAAAGACTCACTTCCCTGATCCCTCGCCCAAATCACCCAAGCCAAACCCAAATCTCCTTTCTCACGCACCCGACAGCACCGTGGTGCACATCTCATTGCCGAGACTCAGTAGACCCCAAGTTCTTAGGCCGCAGGTGGATTCCTGGTGGTCTGCGGCTGGAGGACACCGGCAGAATCGAACAGCTGAACAGTACCTGTGAGCCGGCTCTGTTCCCCTCAGCCCCTGCCCCCCGAATCCAAACCACCGACGTCAAAACTGGCCTTCGGATGACGGTCTGCTGGGTCTTGTGGAGTGTGGAGGCGAGGGGCCTGCGCAGACTGGGTCTTCCCAGGCTGTTTGCAGGTCGGGTAGAACAGCGCTGATGTTAGAGCCCAGCTGTCTCATTAGCAGTGTGACCACGGGCAGTCACTTCCCTGCTCTAACTCTGTTTTCTTATCCAGAAAATGAGGCTCTGTCGTAGGATTGTTTGGGAACTAACTATAGGTCCCCAAGGGAGGCCGCAGAGCATTCTGGGTTTTTATTTTCTTTTCTTTTGGGTCTCATTTCTGTTTGTTTGGTTTGAGGGTTTGTTTTGGTTTTTGCATTACTGGAGGTTGAAGAGGGCGTTTGTCCTGAGCCACATTCCCCAGCCTTTTTTTTTTTTTTTCTGACAGAGGGTCTTGCTAAGCTGCCCGATTGATTGGGTTGGGCTTGAATTTTTCAGCCTCCTGCCTCAGCCTCCTGGAGTGAGGCTGGGACTCTAGGAATATGCCACCATGCCTGGCCAGCATGCCACTGTGTAGACACTCAAACACTTTAGCCCTTAGCATGACTGCTTAGCCCAGGGCACATCAAGAAGTCGGGTGGCAGCAAAGTTCTAGGGAAGACACCGTGTCGATTTTCTTCTGACTCTGCCTACAGGTAGGAGAATTTGAAAGGCCCTTATTCCCTGGCAGGAAAAAAGTTGGTCTCAAAAGTAACTGAGCCGGGCATGGTGGTGCACACCTGTAATCCCAGCACTCGGGAGGCTGAGGCAGGACTGTTGCAAGTTCAAGACCAGCCTGGGCTACAAAGCTCAAGGCCAGCCTGAACTATATAGCAAGACCATGTCTCAAAAAGACCAAAAAAAAAAAAAGTGAATCCTTCCTGACAGGAGGAATTATAGGGAAAGGTACAGGAATTAAAGGTGAAGGTCTTTACCCTCAGATGTAAGTAGAAGTCCAACATCATGTGCCTGGGTCAAACACTCCCTCTGAGCACCATCACGCGTCTGTCGCTGTCCGGCGCCCTCTCCGCTCGGCAGTGTGACGACATCCTCCGAGTTGATTCAGCAGTGACGTGTTGTACGGGCATCTACCACGTCCAAAGCACAGTGCTCTCCCCACCCCACCTGCATCCGAAAACCCCCCCACCTCCTCCCAGCCCGATGGGCAGTTCCCCTGCAGCAGGGGCTGGTCTGAGCACACATTTCCTGGAGATGTGTCCCTGTTGCTTAGCAACCATAACATTTCTGGTGTGTATTCATGGGCGCTTGCGTGAATCTGAAGCACTGAGGAAATTGACCGTGCTCGTGACCAGCCCCCACGCTCCCGGAGTAGTCAGCCATGGGACAGAGGAAGGGAGCCCTCCCCCGACCCCCTCCCAGCCCCCAACCCGTCCTGACAAGGAAATGGATTTCATTCCAGGTATGCAAAACATGCACGACAAGGGCATGACGGTCCAGCCTGACCTCAAAGCTTCTTTTTCCTACGGAGCCCTGGAAAACAATGACAGCATATCTGAGATCTACACCCCTGCCACACTGCCAGTCATGCAAGAAGAGCACAGCTCCAGAAGCACCCCTGGGGTTCCCTACCGCGTCCTGGAGCACAGCAAGAAAGAGTGAGCCACCTGCGCGTGACTCGCCTTTCCCTAACCATGCGGGCCGGGCGGCGGGGCTTCGCCCTTCGCTCTTGGCCTCGCCTTCCCGTCCTGCTTTCCAGACTGCGAGTTCTGCGGAAGCAGAGCTTGGAAAGCCTCGGTCTCCAGAAAGAACGCCGCGTTCCCTTGGTCTTGGAAATTTCAAGTGGAGACAGGGGCGGGGGTGGGATGAAAGAATTCCAGGTGGGCTTAGCCTTGAGGGGTTGGAAGCCTTTTCACCTCCTCAGAAACGGGCACTGGGCCACCCCAGCCAGTGACCAAAGCCGATGCCACGTTCTTCAGAGTGAAAGCAAGACAGAAGTTCCTAACTTCGGTCTGGAGACCACGAGTGCTGGCCTCCCTCTGCCTCACGTGCATGCCTGTTTTTGACAAGATCTGTGTCCCCCTTTCACACGCACCGTGGGCTGGCCCCCCACATGCAGTCGTTGCGTCTTGGCAGTGTCCCCATCCGCCTTCTGTCTGTGCCCCTGCAATGAAGACGGGTGGCGTCTGTTTTTGGTTTTCATTGTTTTGTTTCATTTTGTTTTTGAGACAGGGTCTCACTATGTAGTTCAGACTGGCCTTGAACTCGCTTTTTTGGACCATGTCTGAAAACAAACCTGGTTCTGGTTCTCTGTGAACTAGGAGCCCACCCCGCTCCAAGGAACTGGGAAATTAACAGAAGAAGGAGGGAAAAATAAGGGGGATGGGAGCAAGGGTGATGATACTCAAGCCCCTAAGGAAGAAAGGTCCCTGTTAATCTTCCTGTCCCTCCTTATAAAGTAGAGGAGGGAAATCTGCTTGTTGACGGGTGACTTTTTCCCTGCACACTGGCACCCTCTGGGAAGACTGGGGGGCTCACTTTAAAGCCAGCGTCTCCCATTCCCCCCACCCATCCCTCCTTTATAGACGCGCAGACCACGCCGCAGTTGTTGGCTCACTTCCCTGCAGCCGGGAGGCCATCCGGGGCTCTGGGTGTGACGCAGCGAGAGCCTGCGCACAGGACTCTGCCTCCCGGCTAGTGGTGGCGAACCCGTGGCACGCGTGCCACAGCAGGCTGTTTATAGCTTTGAAAACTCTAAAAGGTTCGCCATCGCTGCTGCCCTAGATCATGTGTTTCTGAGAATGGCAGGGAAAGGTTTGTAAACTTTAATAAGCATGAGGGTCCCCTGGGGGGTTATTTAAAATACAGATTCTTATGCCCCAACCGCGGAGATTCAGGGTGAGTAGGACCGGGTGGAACCTAAGGGACTGCATTTTTAATTGACACCACTGTGTGATTCTGACGCTAATAACCAGAGATCACACCCCTCAAAAAACCTGGTAATGGGAAAAGACGGCCACTAAGACCCGCAAGGCCTATGCCCTCCTGCCAGACAGCTAGAATTATATTCCATTTCCTCTTGGGATTCTCTGGCAGGGAAAGTACCCCCTGGAGAGTGTGGCATTTCTTCACCTAGTAAATACCACTTAGAACTAGCTTACTGCTTCTCTAGACAGACTTTAGGCAAGATACCAGTGTTAAAGACAGTGTTACCGGCACTTAGCTTATAGATTGCGCTCAGTACTGATTCAGGAGCCGGACTTCCAAAGCTCTGCCACCTGTCGCCTGTGATAAGCACTTCATATTTTGTCTTAGCCACTCCTGTACTGTGTCTTAAATGCCCAAGAAGGCAGCAGACAAGGAGCTTAACCCCTTAGGCTGAGTACCCACTCACTTCAATATTTTTGAGACGTTTACTGTGTGTTAAGCACTTAGAGGGCAAAGCTACAAACATAAGATACAGTCCCTGCCGTCCAGGCCAGCGGAAGGAGACACAGATGCCCAGAGGTCTCTGACAGGGTGGGCAGTGACAGGAAGTGACAGGAAGTGACAGTCATGGTGGCCCTGAGCCCAAAGGGTGTTCAGAATTAGAGATGATTTGGGCTCCACTGACAGAGGATGGCAAAGCCAGCAATGATCTGTACCAAGCATAGACAGTGGGGTGATCCCCCTCCAGGCAAAAGGGGCCAGAATTTCCAAAGGCACAAAGATGAGGAGATGGGATATGAAACAAAAGAGAGCCGGGGAAGATGGAGGGAGAGGAGCCTCAAGAGATCAGCAGTGGAGGCCGAGTCCTGGAGTGTTCAAATGCCTGGCAGAGGACATGGGAGCCATTGATGGTTCAGGAGGAAGAGAACAGCAGGAGCCACAGAGACTGGACAGGAGACCGTGTTCACTGTGGAGGAGGAATTGGGGTGAATAAGCCACCTTTCAAGGTGAAGCTCTGAGCCTGAAAGAGCAAAACATACACGGGAAATTAAAATCCAGTTTCACTGCTATTCCAACACTCCTCATTTCCCAAGTGACTTTTCCAAGGCTGGGGGTCAGGGTAGAAAGGACATGAAGGTGAGCAGGAAGCTATTTAAACATGCTGAACCCAGGGGATCAACAGGAATTTGGAGTGATACGTCTGCGCCCCCAACCTTCCTTGAACCCCCTTCCTGTTTTGTTACTGGCTGTTGGGCCTTGGGCTGGCCAGGTTTCTGGAGGTGAACGGACAAAAGTGTGCTGTAACTTCAGGTCTGCTGCAGATCAAGGAGACGGTGCCAGCCAGGAACTTCCTGGGGCCCGGGCAGCCCCCCTTCTTTGGGTGTGGGGCCGTGGGATCGCCCGGCAAAGCCAAACCACAGAGGCGGAGCAGAAAGCGATACAGTGGTTTCCTGAGTGGAGGCCAGGGCTCGGCCACATGGGCAGCCAGCAAGCGCAGCGCCTGCAGAGCCATCGTCCCCAGAGCTCTGAGGTGTCTTGGGCTCACCAATCGCAGGCTCCATCCCCAGGTGTAAGTGGGCCACCCGCTAATGGCGGTGGCTGCACACACAGCCCCCCTGGTTTATTTTCACTTGCGGCTCAACATCCCGATGCCCGCTTGATTTCTCCAAGCCTCCGTCTCCTTCCCAGGTAGGAAGCCAGAAGGCCAAAGCACGGTCATGTGCCGCTGTTCTCTGATCTTCCCCGCCCGCCTGCACTTTCCCATTTTATTCCACAGGCTGGGGCTCTGAGCGCGCTGTGTAAACTGGTGCCTTGGAGGACGGGAGCCCCTCCAGCCCTCCCGGCCCGCTGCAGGTCTGAGGATGCCCTCACTCTAAACTCTAGGAGATGGAGATTTGCAGGGTGGAGTCGAATGCTAGGGAGGGGAGGGAGGCCCGACCCCTCCTTTGCTTTTCTAGTGGCAGTCAGTCATTTGGTGGCACCTGTGTGCACGTAGGCATCATCCGAGTGACATTGGGGAACCCGCCCTGCAGCCTCCTGGATTTCGGGTCCAACACTGGCCGATGGGCAAAAAGTCATTTGTGTGTTTCTCAGAGAAGCTATGTAAATGAAGTCACTGTAGAATATATTCTAGGTGGATGCTTATATTTTGTTAACTTCATGGCTAATATGGCATGTCTTATTTTTCAAAAAACATGTACTAGGTCCAGATAACATTATGAAGTGTATTTCATTAAAAAAAAAAAAAATCCCTGCAGTACATGTTGAGTTGGAGTCTTATGTTCAGCTCATATTATCTAGAATTGTATAGAAGACACTGACCTAGTAAAACGTCCTGTGATAGGAGGGCTGCCCAGAATGGCAGCCACGCTTTGCCTGGGGACACTGAGGGGACCAAGGAGCTGAACTGATAATTTTCTTAATTTTAATTAATTTAAAGCTTTGCGTGGTGGCACACACCTGTAATCCCAGCACTCAGGAGGCTGAGGCAGGAAGATCATTGCAAGTTCCAGACCAGCCTGGGTTTCAAAGTGAGCTCATAGCTGGCCTGAATTGCACAGCAAGACCCTGTCTCAAAAAGACGAAAAATTTAAAAAATTTAATTAAATCCCCATATATAAAGCCAGACATAGTGGCACATACCTGTAATCCCAGCACTCGGGAAGCTGAGGCAGGAGACTCACCATAAATTCAAGGCCTGCCTGGACTACATAGTGAGACCCTGTCTCAAAATAAATTAATTAAATCCCTATATATAGCTAGTGGCTGTTATATTAACATTGTAGCTCAGGGGCTGGGGATTTAGCTCAGCGGCA